AATTTTCCTCTAGTCAAGTTCTGATTATCAAGCCATTGAGGCTAGGTCAAATGGGTACTATCTGTAAGTCTGGGTGTTACTGTGCATCTCCCCTCACTTTATATCACCTGGATGCTTCACTCTCAGCTCTAGCCCTCTGTGTCTATGTCCTTGTCCATGGGCTCAGGTGTCCCCATGTCTCACCACACTTTGGACCAATAAGCCCTTCCTCTTTTGTCTCTCATCTCCAAGTCAACGGGAGTCTGTGGAACGTGGTTGAACTCAGACCATTTTCTTCAGTGCTGCCTTATATATGCCTGAGTGTTAAAAAAAAAAAAAAAAAAAGAGCTTAAGTGAATAGATAGAAATACTGTTAACTGATAGCAAATGGAGTGGATTATAATCATTGTAATGAAGCAAGGTGTATGATTTGTTGAATGTAAAACTGGTGATCTGTCCTGTAAACTTTCACTCAATCCACAATAAAAACCTTGAGGAAAAAAAAAAAAGAGTTTACTTTGGAATAGAGATTGAAATATTAATTTTACTCTTCTTTCCAAATGATTTGGCAATGGGAATAGATATCATTTCCTGACTACTTCATTCTTCCTGCACTTGTTTGAGAAATCTGAAGTTTTACTTTTATAAAAGCTTTTATTTTGCTTTTGGTTTGCCTACTCTCACATGAATCCATTGGTCAATTCTTACATTAAAACCAGTCTGTTTCTTTAATTATAGCTTTATTTGACACTTTGACAAGCACGAGTATCTTCTAGCTACCACGTGCCTTAAAATCACAGGTGCCACCGGCTACAATCACAAGATCATTTGAAGAAATGAATGCCAATTTAAAAACTGTTTTTCAAATAACAATCAGCCGTATAGGTTCATTATATAGAAAAATCGAATTCTAACAAACAGCATAGACTTAAACACAGAAAGCAAGTATAAGATTTCATAACATGTTATATATCTACTTATTTTTACAACATGTTATTTAAATACCTATTAAATCATAAAATGCATCAGGAATTCCCTTTGGTCGCATGTGTCATTCAAATATGAACTCTTGGCATATGTGGCTAAAATAACTCAATATACCTGCTGTCCAAAAGGTATTTCCCACTCAGAGCATTTGTTAGCCAGAGTACATACTTAATGATAAAGTAAGTGTGATTTCTGAAGTTACACCAGATTCACTGACCAAAAGGTGTCAGGCACCAGTCTGTCAACTGTTCAGAACACGTTAAAAAAATCTTCACTCCTTTAAACAAAAAAATCTTTAGGTGTACATAAATAGAATTAGAGTGACATCTAATGGTCACAAAGCATACCACATAACATCTCTTTCAAAGAGAACTATATGAAATATATACATGTTCCAGGTTAAAAGGTTACATTGAGTCATTTCTCAGCCACACATGCTAATCTCTTACTGTCACAAACTATTCTGAATGCCATGCAAACAGCTTTCATTTTTTCCCCATTAGTTCAACCACATCCATTATTCCCAAATGATGCTCATAAAATTAAGTAGAAGTACTGTTGTTGTTAAGTGCCATCAAGTAGGTTTTGACCCACAGCGACCCCTATAGGGTTTCCAAGGAGTGGCTGGTGATCTTGAACCACTGACCCTGCAGTTCAAATTGACTTTGCAGTCCAGCGGATTAGCCCACAGCGCCACACCAAATAACCCTGTCAACCACTTTCAATATCCCTCAGTAGAATTCTCAGCATCTCGTCTAAAAAGAACTATTTGTATTGTGAACATCTGAGAAGTAGATATCTATTTCCCTCAGTCAAATGATTTGAATGTCCACTATGCTCTTCTTCCTCTTCTAAGCAATTACCAGGTATTATAAAGAGCACTGGAGTCCCGGTGTAGCACTGTAGGCTACAGCTCTGGACTGCAAGGTCAGTTTGAACCACAAGGTTGGCAGTTCAAACTTACCGGCCGCTCCTTGGAAACCCTACACAGGGTTGCTATGGATCAGAACTGAATCGACAGCACTTAACAACAACAACATAAAGAGCACCAGAGTCTTAGAGTGATGTTGTAGCATAAGCATTCAAACGCAAGGTCAGTTTGAACCACAAGGGTGGCGATTCAAACTCACCAGCCGCTCCTTAGAAACTCTATACAGGGTCACTACGAATCGAATCGGAACTGACTTAACAGCACTTAACAACAACAAATAAACAACAAAAGAGCACACAGCTTTTGTGATACTTGGCAGTGAGCTATCAACCACCCCCTGGTGACCAGGCAAGTGAGTGCTCCATCGGTAGCAGAAAGGCATGCTTCCTCACCAATCCCTGCAGCTTTCAGGGAGCTGTCTTCTTTCAGCAGAAGGCTGTCATCATCTTCCAAACCCAGCACAAGTTCATTTGTCTAAAATGAAGTAAAAACTGCATTTTATCAGTACTTGCATGTGTTTCTTCTCAACGATATAACAACTGCTACTTTGGGTAGTATAATAATCCAACTCATGTTCCTGTAACTGGAGACATGAACAGATAATATACTGAGTCCCTCTGAAAGCACTGGCAAGGCAGGCCTCAGTTCAAAGTCAGACTCCACCAACAACCAACCATAGAGCTGCTCTATGACTCAGTTTCCTGGTGGTACAGTGGTTAAGAACTAGGCCGCTAACCAAAAGGTCAGAGGTTCAAACCCACCAATCATTCTGAGGGAGAAAAGACATAGAGCTCTGCTTCCATAGAGATTATAGCCTAGAAAACCCACTGGAGTAGCTCTACTCCGTCATATAAGATCACGATGCATCACAATCAACTTGACAGCACACAGCAAAAGGAGGAAAATCATGTATCTTCCTCATTGCCTTGTGGTAAGGATTAAAGGGGATGACATATTGAAAACCCTCAGCACAGTATCTCCTATATAGCGAAGCACTCCCTGTGTTGGCGGTTTGGAATTGCTGGGTAGTACGAGTGGTTGATATGCTCAACTACTAACTAAAAGGTTAGAGGTGCAAGCCCACTTATAGGTGCTTTGGAAGAAAGGTCTGGAAATCTACTTAAAAAAGATGAGTGACTGAAAATCCTGTGGGGCACAGTTCTACTCTGACACCAATAGGATAGCCATGAGTCAAAACTGACTCAACAGGAACTGTTGTCTTCTCATCTCGTCCTCACAATGATCCTGGAGGAATCAGAACAGTTAAAGTACAGGCCAAGGTTACATGGCTGGCCAGCGTTATATGGCTCTGACTAGTGTGACATCTAAGACAAGCAAGTTCACCCCAAATGGCCAAGAGTCCACAGATCTAGAAATCTTGTTTAATAAACATTTGGCCCCATGTCATGTTAGCTGTACTATTTCTCTATGTGGTTTGGGGTGGGGATGGGTGAGTTTGTGCTCCAAAGATATTTACACATCTAGTAAAACACAAAGTTAGGAGAAATTGATGAGTTGATGTCTGCCCCTAAACAGTACACAGAAGTGACCAGTAGTTAAGCACACAGCACCATTTGCCAACCAGGACGCAGCTGTTCAGTAACATGTTCTATTTCTAGAATACAACTGAGAGTCAACCAGAAGGTTTCTCAGCAGCCAAAATAGAAGACCCAGAAACCATGCCCCACATTCATGGACTTCACTCACTAAGGAAGTAAAGGTGCACAAACTACAGGGCATATAGGTTTTTTAAAAGAAACTAATTTAAAAAAAAAAAAAAAGAACTGTTTAGGACAGGAAATAAGTGAGGATGGCAAGATTCTGGCGTGCTGACTTAGGACACATCATGAGGACAGACTGATTGCTAGAAAAGGACACCATGCTTGGTAGGGGCCCCATGAGGCAGACAAACCACAGCAATGGACTCAGAAGATGGACTAGCACCATCCAACGCTCTGTTCTGTGGTTTGACAGAGGGTCAGTAAACACCAGGGAAACCCTCAATAATACAGAAATCACAGCAGTGGACTTAGAGGATGGCACAGTACTGGGCATGCTCAGGTCTGTGGTTGATAAAGGTGCTGCCTGGACAGCAATGAACAATACACCTCAAGATACAAAAGTCCATGGGTACAGAATGAAATAAAAATGTCTCCCCAATTCCTATCCCCCCAGTGCTCCTCCAGAGAAAATATTACTTAATTACTAAGTCACGGGTAGCCTTCCAGAGAGCGTCTTTGGACATGTGCATGCAGGCTAGGTAGAGATGTGGATGCAAATTCTTTCATACAAAAGAATAGCATATTACATAGTTTTGTTTTTTTCTCTCCTAAAAATAAAGCTTGAAATCATACTACACCAGCATAATGAGTAGCAAAGCTGCCTTGTTCCTTACTAATAGTGCAGTGTATTTATTTAATCAGACTGAAGGAATTTATTTAATCAGACTCTATTAAGGAACCTTGGTAACGTAGTGGTCTGGGCTGCTAACTGTAAGGTCAGTAGTTCAAATCTACCAGTTGCTCTGTGGGAGAAAGATGAAACTTTCTGCTCCCAAAAAGGGTATACCTTCAAAAAGCCTATACAGGGTCACTATGAGTTAGAATAGACTGGGTGGCACACAGCCATCCCTACCCCCACTGATAAACACTTTACATTGTCAAATAGCTACTATAATATATCTGCAATGAATACTCTTAGACCTGTACTCGTTCAGCTTTATCTGCAAGATAAAATCCTAGAAGCAGACTTAGGTCGAAATATGTGCCATTGTTATTTTGTCAAAGTTACCCTTCAGAGAAGTTGTGCGGATTTACACTAATGCTACAAATCACGGAGAAAGCTTGGTTCCCACATTCTCTACAACACAGGCGACTGGAAAGTCTTCTAATCTTTGCCAGTCTGAGAAATGTAGAGTTTCAAATTAAGTGGACTGCTAATTTGTTTTTATCTTATCATGAGTAAGGTTATAACTAATTCTTATTCACCTTCTTGACCTATTTTACTAATTTTTTTACAATGGCGCTGAAGGATCTGTATGTCTCTCTCATGATAAACAGAGAACCTTCCCCAGGTTTTCAACTGTTGTTTGACTTTCTTCTTATGTGTGTGTTTTTAATAGTGCTATATAAGTTTTTATTGAAGAAATAAATGAATGACTGAAATAAGATATATCCAGTTCTTTTTTTAATGGATTCTGAGTTTTCTAGCACATTTACAAAGGTCTTCCCCATTCCAAAATTATTTTTTAAATTCTATGTTTTCTTCAAATTTTTCATGATTTTTTACTTTTTAAAACATTATCTGTGTTCTCACTCACCGACTTCAAAATTTATTACATGGCTACAGTGGTCAAAACAGTCTGGTACTGGTACAATGAAAGATATACTGATCAATGCAACAGAATAAATAATCCAGAAATTAACCCATCCACATTCAGCCAACTGATTCTTGATAAAGTACCTAAACATATCACATGGAGAGGGGATAGTCTCTTCAACAGATGGTGCTAGCAGAACTGGAAAGCAATATGCAAAAGACTGAAACAAGACCTTTACCTCATGCCTTATGCAAAACCCAACTCAGCATGGAGTAAAGACCTAAATGTGAATCCCAAAATTATGAAGGCTATCAACGAAAAAATAAGGACAAATGTGAGAGCACTAATTCAAGGAATACACAGACTACAAAACATTTTGAAAACGACACAAACAAAAGTAGACAAAATAGATGACTGGGACATACTAAAAATTAAAAACTTATGTGCATCAAAAGACTTCACCAGAAGAGTAAAAAGGGAACCCACAGACTGGGAAAAAATCTTTTGCAA